AGTCTGCGAAGCCTAGTACACTGATCGCCATAACAAAACGAGAATGGTGAATATTTTGGATAGTCGTATACCATTTTCCATCCCTAAATACATAAGCTGATTGCATATCGTGTGGAAAACCTGACTTACGTGATACTCCATCGCGTCCATTGCATCATTTAAATTATCAAAAGGATCACTATAATGCGTCAATAATAGAGTGCTTTGAAGTCTTGCCTTAATTGTCCTTCCAGTTAATGTTTCTTTACTATAACAACTCATGAATAAATCACGAACAAATAAAGGAAAAATTTCAAGACACCAAATACGCGTAGTAAATAGTAACTCTTATCTTCCCAGGGATCTTGTAATGTATCAGCAAATGTCATGTAATGCCAGGACCAAGTTGGTTGGTGGATCTTTTTATTAGACCTGACGGTTTCGGCTACAAAGATCATAGTTTACTTTAACCTGGACGATACATCACCGAAAGCCTCTCACACTCTACCAGTCTAGACCTAGTCAAAGGCTAACGACACGAAACCATGGATACGAAGAAACGAGCCGAACTTAAGTCGCATTCCAGTAAGTCCGCACAGCTACTTAGTAACGGAGTGAGTGAGTGCCACCCAGTAAGTCAATGCTTCTATGTGCGGTTATAACTAAGTATGTGTGGGGAGTTACTCGATGCGGTGAACTCAAGGTTGGCTCGATTCTTCACCTCCATGTTGCTAGCCTTTGACTAGTCTAGACCGGCAGAGTGTGAGAAAAGGCTCTTGATGGTGTATAATCCAGATCAAAGTAAGCCACCATCTTCGTTCAGACTGATAAAGAAAATCCAACAAATCTGGTCTTGGCATAACACGGCGTACTATTGGCTAAAAATGCTTACCCCATAATATTGTCCCACTATAAAACTGAACAGCAACCACATACAAACAAGTAACCGGGAACAGAGTGGCTCGGGATTACAGTTGGAGTTTTTAAAAAATGCTAAAAGCTTTGAGCAAGTGCATAGTACGAATAAAAAATTCAGTTGAAATGCACACACACAGTCCCAACTCTCACCGGCTACAGCGAAATAGGCGAAGGTGAATATTGATGAAGGTTTTCTGGTGAGAAGTTTCGTGAAGAGGTGCAGAAGACAACTCACACTGAAGCCAACAATACCCATGAGCAGCATCACCTGTCATTGTGAGGCAATAATTGAATTAAAAATTGGAATCCTGAGTTTTGCCGCAATAAAAATAGCGGCACGGCAAACCCGAGGGACGGTCAACAGGAGCGATTTATATGTGAGCGATTTAAAATCCTAGTTCAGTTTATGCGGGCTTCAAAAATACCGAATAAAGTGCTTCAATTTACTAGCTGTTTGAAGCTGTTACCTGTCAAATTTGGTGGAATTTAATGAAAAACTGCGTGAATGTTTGCGAATTCGATACTAGTCGCATTTTCAAAGGTTTTAACCTTCAACAATTACGCTTCGAATTTTTAACAATATTTAACAGCCCACGCGGCTATATAGTACAAATCCTTAAATACTTCAGGGCCCATAACAAACCCCCGAAATATGTTGTAATGTAAAGAAACCAAGAACACGACGTGTCCGATTGAAGGACGTGCTGCTCACGATTATGTTTTGGTCTCTACAAAACTTTCGACCGCACGCCCAATCGGACTCTCCGGTGATATTCGACGGCGCGCACTGCTACTGCGTCACTGATATCTCTTCGATTTCGAGAAATCAGAAGCTGGCGAAGCAAAGATGCGACCGACCAAATTATTGCTTGCGACATCTTCCGAGCAATCATAAGCAAACTTTGATGTGTGTTAATCTCTATGTAGGTTGTAAAGTACACACTGCCTCCACCATGTTCATTAACAAGGGCATACTAAAGGTATTGCCACAAAGGGTCCGAATAGTGCAGCGACAGTGTTGGACGCCAATGAGCTAGCGGTGATGGGTACGAGTTCCATGTGAGCTTATCCCTTGCAAAGTTTTAGCCAGTTAATTTTTTGAGTAAATAAACGAAAATTGCTAAATTGTTTGATAGTAGGGAAAAATGGCAATGCAAAACATAAAATATTGGCAATACACAAAACAAATCGGAATATTGTAATAAAATCACTACTCTGTATGACGCAAACATAAGCTAATCCACTAGCCATGACGCCAAACGGTTCCCTCCCTCAAAAAAAGCAAACGCTCAGCGCGTAGCTAATGAACAGCATTTAAGCATATAGGTTATGAAAAGGTGCTAAGATGGAAGGAAATGGTAATCAAAACACACAGAAGAAATTTGGTGCGGAAATGAGCTGCGACATGAGCATGAAAGGAGCATGATAAGATACGAATAAGTAGATTTTCAATTTGTTCAAAATAAACTCACCTTTCCCAGATTACAAAGAACATAGTGGCAGAAATTCTCAGAAAACAGAATATAGGGCATACCAGTTACCATCGGTCGTGGGTACCCACGGGATAAGGCTGCGAAAGCGCGACGCGGGCAGCGAATTTAGTACTCGAGCGCGAAAGCGTCGCTGAATCTGTCGCTAGGGTTGAATATCGTTCTTTTTTAAGCTGATTTTATCTGATGAACTTCATTTCGTACTCAATTGCATGCTGGAATATCTTGTTTTCCATATTTCACGCAAAATGAAAAGCATAATAGATCTATGATGGAAAAGGTAATTCGGCTTTTTGCGACTGTGACTTGAATTTGACACTTTGATTATATGCCAATTCCGAGATTAGGAGACTTTAGAACGTTGCACACGTTGTTTAACAAACTTGTACTTGTTTCTCATCTAATGTCTAGTAGTAAACCAACCAACTGGGGTAAAGAACAAGTAACATTTTTACACCGTATCTGTGCAAAGCATGTTCGAGTCTCCTCAACTCGGAATAGATGATAATTTTCTGCTATGCATGAGCAAAAGATTCGCTTCAGCGTCCCTGCTTGAATATTCTTCATTCGAACAGCGCCACCATCTGAGATGTCTAGTAATCTATACAAGTACGGAATTTAATGTCTAACAAGAGAATGTAAGGTGAATACGGGATGACTGCGCCTCAATTCGCGACATTCATAACGTACTCGTCCTCTGCGCACGGAGGAGCACGCCCTGCAGTTGCGACGTCCCAGGATTTCGCCGCGCGGCCGTGATAAGAGATAGGCGCGCGACGAATCGCGGCCGAAACGACACGTGCTGAGTACGTGCGATGTTTCGAACGTCGCAACCCTCACGACGGGGGGATTACTACAGGTTCAGATGCACCTACTCAGATAACCGCCGGGGGCAGGCGGCCAAGCGATTTTTGGGCAAGCGGGCACCGGAAAAATAGTTCTGATTTCTTGTAATCCGTATCGCAGATTGCGATGACCGATACATATTTGCTGTATATAGAAATGTATTTATGTTGAATTGCTTGTTGATTTGAGATTGTATATAAGCATACCATTTTTGGAAGATAGTTATTCTGTGTCGCAATCTCGCTCTGGTTCGTCGCCAAGTTCTCCACTACCACTTGGCACTTATATAGCTACTGTACCGGATAAACGACTATAATCACTATCGTGTTGGTCGTACATAGAAGCAAGGCTACCGCTATCTATCAAGGCTACACTACTATACTCTATCGGATCCACCAAGGTTTGGGTGGATTCCTCTATATGGTTCGGCTAAAGACAACTGAACAGGTACGATCTTCCAAGTTTAACAGAGAAAGCCTCGAGACCAAGAAGCACCACATACTCGTCTGGAGACCAAGAACTTTGAACCACCGAAAGAAGAAAATTGAATTTGAACGGCAACACAAAAGGAGACGAAAAAATGGCAGAATCATTTAGACTAAAGTCTCTAGTCACAAGTATAGTAGGCAAGGAGGGAATTACCCCGCAACGAGTAGTTAGTTAGAAGAATGAGTACAAGTTAATGCGAAGCACCCTATCACTTTATTATTGCCCTGACACATAACTATATTAGTTAGTGATATGCAGCCAGCAATGATCGAGAAGGTATAAACACAGATGGTTGAGTAAGGTCAAAGTATCTTCCACAAGTCTTCTTCACTAGTCGGAAATCGTTGCTGACGCGAATTTGCAATAACCTACAGAAGATCATCCAACGATGCGAGGACGACACAGTACTTCACGAAGGACAAGGAGACAACAAAGAAATCTACAATCGCAGATCACTCTTTGTAACGGAACTAAGAAGTACTTCAAAACTCGTCTTGGAGCAGCTCAATACCTTTGCAAACACCGTGGATACTCTAGCGAAATTGCTTACAGAAAAGCAAGAAATGCATGCACCAGAATATTTGGAGAAGATAAACCTAATAATCGAGCGCGCACAAACCTTGATCGTGGAACTGGAGGCACAGAACGCAATGCTGTCGGAGTCAGATTATGTGACGGAGCGTTTCCAGAGACCGTTGCCAGGCCGTGTGGAGATGGCAAGAGCAACGCTTCCAGCTATTCCAATTCAAATATTTACTGTAAAGGTTTGGGAGTACAACAATTTCTGGACACTCTTCGAGGAAAATGTGCACAACCAACTGCTCACCAAGTTGCAGAAGTTAAATTACTTATTGAGTGCACTACGAGGTGAAGCACGCGAAATGATGAGAAGATACGCCATTTCAGAAAAAAACTACGAGAGTGCGGTCGAACTCCTATGCAATAAGTACGGTGATGAATCTCAACTCATATACGTACTACAAGCTCGTCTTGAAAGTGCAAAGGCCGATCGGGAAACAATAGCAGCACAAAGGAGGCTTCTGGAGACCATAATTCCTATCGTGACGCAACTCGAAAAACTGGGAATGCATCTGGATGGTTCGTATCTCGTACAAAAAGTGATTGCGAAATTCAGTGCAAAGCTCCAGGCGAAAGGTCTTGGAGAAGCAAGTGTCTCAAGAAATACGAGAGCGAGACTGGAAACTTTCAAATGTACAAAAGGATCTTGACTCGCTAATAAACATGGAGGAAAGAGTAGATTAAATGATAAATAAGAACATGGGACACAACGCGTACAAGGAAGAAGATCAGCAATGGCAAAATACAGGACAAAGCAGACCAAAAACTACAACCTGCATATTCTGCGACGCCACGGATCACAGAGTCGACTGCAGGATTTACGACACCATAGATAAAAGGCGCAGACTTATGCAAGAAAAGCTGCTATGCCTCAACTGTGGGGGAAACGACCACTACGCAAGAAATTGTATTAAAGGAAGATGCAATATTTGTCAAGGAATGAAGCACCACTTTACCCTTTGCCCAAAACGCTTCGCAAGGATGGAAGTACAAGAGAGACCAGAAGGAAATAACAACGGACAGCAAACATTACGGCAAGCACCATCACAGGCGCCAAAGGCCGACGGAATGAAGCAGCAAAAGAGCAAAAATCAGCAACATCCATTCAAGGCAACAGTCGCAAAAGGATTAGACATTGCCGAAGGAGGGGAAGAACCTAGAACTGGATTAGACATCGCCGAAGGAGGAGAAGAACCTACAAGTATCTTTCACATGGAAAAGAGGAGTGCCTTTAGTGGAGAAGGGCCGGTACTACTCCTCACTGGTTGTGCAAAGATATATAACTTAGTTGACAGAGAATGGACCGAGGTCGAGGTACTATTCGACACTGGTGCGGATCGGTCATTCATCAACTCAAGTTTGGCAAAAAACTAAATTTCAAATCTACACCTTCGGTTCACATGAGGCAAAATCTACAGTTTGCGAAATAAAGCAACTGAACCTTAAGAACGATGAGAAAAGAAGACATACTTTACGCTTGTATGCAACCCCTGTGTTGACAGGGAAGGGAAAAAGAGTAATTTGTGTTCAGAAGATATGGAATTCCTACTCAGATAATCCCCGGGGGCAGGCGGCCATGCGATATCATGGGCGGGCGGACACCGGAAAAATAGTTCGCTGAATTCTTGCGATCCGCTAGCACACATTTGGAAGAATTTTAGCGAAATCTTAGACGATTGCTTGGAGAACAATCGGGGTTTTCTTACAGATTAGCTGCGGCGCAGTGGCCGCATTCTCGCGGACTTTCCGCGAGAATATGCAAAAATTTCGAGGGCCGCACGGTCCTTTGTGGGGGACCGCGCAGCCTCCAGGTACTTTCCGCTGAGAGAAAGTACCTCAAACTTGAGTAATTGAACCATCGGTGACACCTCTGCCACGTAGAGTCTCACCTTTGCTCGGCGTACGCCCGAAACTGCTTAAAATCCACCCGAGCGCCGGCTGAAAATTTGGACAGCGCTTGCTGAAAAAAATCATTTGACGAGCGCCTGCAGAAAATCCTGTATTGCTGCTCGCTTACAGAACATGCGGCAGTAAAGGAAGTACCGCTCGCTAAAGGTCTGGCCACGCCCCAAAATGTTGCTGACCGCTTGCAGAAAAGCGCAAGTTTGCGGACCGCCTGCCCCGGCGGTTATCTGAGTTGAAGCACGTCAAATACCTCTTTCCGCGCTGAACACGAGACAGCCTATTCCGCAGATATCATTGGGCTGTGATCAGCTGTGGAACTTCTTGGAAGTTTCAGCACCAAAACTGACGCTTCCATCAGGCTTAATGCTGATTCCGTCGAAGCTTGGATATCTTATTACAACAGAACAGTTCTCTCAAATCAACTGGAAAGAAAGATGAAAATTCTTCGCCTACTATCCAAGCACTCACTAGTTCGTGCGACTACAATGAAGACAGAGAAAGATGGGATAATTATTAGACTATGGATTCATCAGGAGTATGCGAGTCCTCATGAACTAAGAATGAAGAAAAGGCTATCAATCAAAGGAAAGTGAAAGAATTTTTCAACTCGACAATTGAGAAACGAGCAGACGGCTGCTATGTACGTCTACCATTCAAAGAATCACATCCACCGCTGCCGACTAACAAAGCTATTGCAACGAAACGCCTGGTTAACATATTGCAGTCCTTAAAGTCAAAATCAGATCTTTTGGAGAAGTATGATGACATTATAAAGGATCAGTTTCATAAAAACATCATAGAAGAGGTCATAAGCAATTCAATTGACGAAGGAAAACGCATACATTATATTCCTCATCAGCCGGTTATCACACCACAAAAGGAAACAACGAAGTTACGTATAGTGTTTGACGCTTCATCGCACTTCAAAAATAGTCCATCGTTAAACGACGTTCTCTATCAAGGACCATCCATACTACCGAAATTATATGAGATGCTGATACGTTTTCGCACGGCAAAATACGTAGCAACAGCAGATGTTGAAAAGGCACTTCTTCAAGTTCACCTCAAAGAACGGGACAGAGATGTCACAAGATTTTTGTGGGTCCGCGATATTAACGTACCACCTAAAGAAAATAACGTTATCAACCTACCGTTTTACAAGAATGACGTTTGGATTGAATGTGTCTCCCTATCTCTTAGCAGGAACCATTCGCTACCAGGTGCAGAACTATGTATCAGACGATGAACTAGCCACGGATTTACGTGATAACCTCTACGTGGACAACTTGATTCTTCCTGCACGTACAGAAGAAGATTTGCAACGAAAAGCACAAACCTCAAGGCAATGCTTCAAAGATATGGGAATGAATTTACGTCAATTTCTCTCAAATTCGGGAAAGTTGGCAAAAGTTTTAGAAGAGGATGCCTATGCAACAACGCCCAAGCAGAAGGTACTTGGAATCACTTGGGACTCAGAAAAAGACAACTTATCCATCAAATGCATGATACCATCTGTGAAGACAGTAACAAAAAGGAAAATCTCACGAAGCATAGCGTCAATTTATGATCCTCTAAGAGGGTTAGTACCAATCCTGACTAAGTTGAAGAATTTCCAACAAGATTTATGGAAGCAACCGCTGCAATGAGATGACCTCATCCAGGATCACTTATGCGAAGAATGGAAAACTCTGAGGAAAAATGCAGATGGTTATGAGAAAACGGTGCCCAGAAACTTGACGCCAGGATCTCAGGCATACTCCATAGCATTGTTTGCAGACGCAAGCAAAATAGCTATGGCAGTTTGTGCGTACCTAATGAACGAAAATTTTTCCTCACTCAAAATGGCAAGATTAAAATTACCTTCGATCAACACACATACGACAATACCAAAAATGGAGTTAAATGCGCTGACTATGGCGGTACAACTCGCAAATTCGGTTTCACAAGCGATTAATAGGAGTAATAATGCATTTTCGCGCACAATCATCATCCCATCGGATTCGCAAGTAGCGCTGAACTGGCTTACCATGGATCCATACCAGGACAAGGCAGGAGTTTTGGTCAGGAATAGAATCAATGAGATCCACGAAATTGTGAATACGCTACAGAAAGAAGACATTTGCGTACACTTTAAGCATGTTTCAACAGAAGAAAACCCTCTGACTTGGGTACTCGCGGTACAGACGCTCAAGGAATGGACAGTGAGCTTTGGTGGCACGGACCGCATTTCTTACGATTTCCGCTAGAAGCCTGAACCAATTCTTCGTACAACCTCCATCAAGCGGAAAAGAAGCTGGAGTCAGTAGTGCTTGCAACACGAACAAAACAAACGTTAGACCACGATGGACTAGAATCTCCCTGGGATTTGTCTAGGTACTCGACATGGAAGAAAGCCAAACGAACAGTTGCAGTAGCGTTCATATTCGTCAAAAAACTACAGCGGGCTCCACAACATCGTCAACTAAAGAAGACCTTGGAAAGCATTCCTGAATTGGAAGACCCACAAACCTTACCCTTACCTATCTCAAACCAGACAATGTGTGCAGCAAGAAGAGCGATTATACGGTACCATCAAAGAAATCACCTCACGGACGAGTATAGAAAGTCAATGGAGAATACTCTAAGACCATTCTTAGATCACCAGCTCATATGGCGTTTTAAAGAAAGGCTCGACCTTTCGTCACTGAGCTACGAATCCGAAAATCCGATTATCATAGCACCAAAAACCACGCTTGCAAAACTTATTTTAGAGGATTCACACGGCATGTACCGTAAAGGAGTGGAACACACAATATCAAGCGTAAGATCACAGTACTGGATTCCACAACTTCGTAGAATGGTCAGACATTTCATACATGATTGTGTCAGATGCAGACGGTTCAATGGCCTACCACACCACTACCCTGATTCTTCTAATCTACCAGAGAGAAGAGTTAAGAAAGGACGTCCGTTTCAGCACATAGGACTTGATTTTTTCGATCTCCCATCTGTGAGAGACAGGGAAACGAAAATTTACGGATGCATCTTCACTTGCACATCCACAAGGTTAATCCACCTGGAAGTAGTGACAAGCATGTACACAGAAGATTTCCTCAATGCGCTAAGGCGATTTATCGCAAGGAGAGGTGTTTCAGAATCGATTACTTGCGATAATGCACCTACGTTTCTTCTGAGTGAACAGATACTGAATAGTGCCGTGACCAGAGAAACCAGCGAACTGGAAATTAAATGGCATCACAACACTCCGTACGCTCCTTGGCAGGGAGGCCTCTATGAGCGTCTCATAAGGTCTATCAAACAAGCATTCTACAAAGCAACACGAGGAGTCATCATGCATTCTCATGACCATATGGTCACCTTGATCACGATCGAAGCTTGTCTGAACTCTAGACCATTGACGTACCAAGCAGCCGAACGTGATACTATAGAAATAATTCGTCCAATCGGCTTCTTACAGAAGGACTGGATAGTGACGCTTCCCTTCGATGACCTGACATCAACAGCAGATGACCCAGATTACGTGCCACTTGAAGAAAGGAGAGCGTTCCAGACCCGTCACCAAGTCGAAGAAGCACTTCAATCCTCTTACAAAATTGCCGAACGTTTTTGGAAAATCTGGCAGTAGCTATATCTTCACCAGCTTAAGAGAAAAACATTTGAAAAACATTGTGAGGAAACGGCAAGGAGCAGACATCCCCAAAATTGGATCCGTGGTACTGGTTAGCGATCCAGTACTTCCACACAACTCTCGGAAATTAGCGAGAATTACCGAACTTCATTGTGGAATGGATGGCGAAGTACGAGAAGCAGAACTCATTTCAAACAGACAAAGAACCAAAAGACCAATCAACTTGCTGGTAGCGTTAGAAATTGAAGACAATCTCAATTAATGAAGTAGTTAACTTTAAAACATCATGAAGGCCATCCTACTCTCGCCGGGAGTATCGCAGATTGCGATGACCGATACATATTTGCTGTATATAGAAATGTATTTATGTTGAATTGCTTGTTGATTTGAGATTGTATATAAGCATATAATTTTTGGAAGATAGTTCATTCTGTGTCTCAATCTCGCTCTGGTTCGTCGACAAGTTCTCCACTACCACTTGGCTCTTATATAGCTACTGTATCGGATAAACGACTATAACCACTATCGTGTTGGTCGTACATAGAAGCAAGGCTACCGCTATCTATCAAGGCTACACTACTATACTCTATCGGATCCACCAAGGTTTAGATGGATTCCTCTATAGTCCGCTTGTAGAAATTTGGAAGAATGTTGGCGAACTTTAAGCGCATGCTCGGGGGACTATCGCGGTTTTTTTCATAGATCAGTTGTGGCGCAGGGGCCGCATTCCCGTGGACTTTTCACGAGAATTTGCAAAAATGTTGAGGGTCGCACAGTCCTTTTTGAAAGACGCACAGCCAGTAGGTACTTTCCGCTGAGAGAAAGTACCCTAAACTCAGGCAATTAAACCATCGATGACACCTCCGCCCTGTAGAGTCTCACTTTTGCCCGGCATACGCCGGAAACTGCTTAATCGTCCGAGCGTCAGCTGAAAATTTGACTCGGGCTCGCTGAGAGAAATTATTTGACGACTGTTTGCAGAAAGTCCTGTATTGCTGCCCGCTGGCAGAACATGCGACAGCAAAGGAAGTGCCGATCGTCGGAGGTTTGGCCACGCCTCAAAATTCTGCTGACCGCCTGCAGGAAAGCGCGAGTTTGCGGACCGCCTACCTCCGGCGATTGTCTGAGTATGTGGTTGAGTGATACTTTGCCAGCTATACAGCATAGAGGAATTCCATAGCTCGTATTGCCTTCTCTATTGTATGGATGTGCAATGTTAGCATTAGATGTGAAATCCTCGTATTTCTTTAGTGTATTTGTAAAGATTCGTGTATAACTGTGACTAGATGATGTGAGCCTTGGCATAGTTAGCTGGCACTGGATTTGTAAATTCAGTCGCATCTCAATCCTAAATAAGGAGCAAGCAACAGCGATTGAAAGAAAACCATCATCAAGCAGGCTCGGAGTGCCGAGAAACTAGACCGATATTTTATAATTCATATATTTTATCTATCTTACTTGCAATATAAGCGTTCAAGCGCAGCAGCTAGTTTTTTTGCATCCTTTAGACTGCATGTATGCAAAAAGGAGTGAGAACTTCGCAGCTGGTGATCTCCTCCTTGCGCTGAATAGCGCGTCACTGTTCATCGTTTGCTTCATGCAGTTAGCCCTGCTTTGTAGATTTACTCAGAATTATTGCCATAGTCACATTGACCTTCAGTTCATTGGACTAAAACACATCAATCGAATTTTATCGCTACCTTTTTGCCATAATCAAAATCTCATATCATGGAGGTATTATATTTCGCTTGCAATATTGTTTATTTGAAGCTTATGTTTGTTAATAACGGTTTAATTACCCAAGTTTGAGGTAAGCTCTACGTGCACAACTCCGTCACTCTGAAGACCCGCCGTGGCAGTCGATGTTTTGGTGGCATTGGTATTCGAAGATCATAATTTTGACTATACATCTCGTCTCAGTCCATTACAAGGATCGCTTGCTACATCGCTTCCAGTTGCAAGTTTGCCTCAAGTTGTCGCCTTGCCTTAAAGGCAGTACATCGGCAGAATGAGACCCATGACATAACAAGGTCACAGGGTAGGAGTCCCCATATGGAACCTATCGGCCAAAGTCCGATCTTTCTCTGCCACTTCTAACACACCATGGGATGGGCGGGGCCGGAGAATACAGGAGATGAGCGCTGCTTCCGCGTTGAAATTTTGGGGGTTAGAAGTGGCAGGGAAAGATCGGACTTTGGCCGATAGGTTCCATATGGGGGCTCCTATCCCGTGACCTTGTTTTGTCACGGGTCTCATTCTGCCGATGCACTGCCTTTAAGGGCCGCAACATTACCTTGTGAGTACTGTATATACTTGCACATCTTATATATATAAAGCTGAATGTCTGTTTGTATGTCTGTCTGTCTGTATGTGTGTACGTATGTTCCGAATAGAAAATTCCATTTCTGAACCGATCCGGACCAAACTTGGCACACACACACTTCGGGCCCCGGCGGGTGTCATAGGCTACTTTTCGTCATCGATCGATATCGATTTTATCGATTTTTATCGATTTTTTTGCTGAGTTCACCTACGGGGCTGAGAGTTGGCACAGGGGGGTAATCGAGCATGGGGATTCCGAATACAATATTGGTTTTCAGGATTATCGATTACTTTTA